GGGAGGCGGCGGCAGCAAGCCCTAATACATGATGAATCAAGCGAGTCGTGCTGCGTGCGTGCGTGCATGTGGTGAGGATTGAGGAGGGTGTAACCCGACTGCCCAACGCAAGCAACGAGGCTATGGCACAGTCTCGGCGATGGCCTCACGCCCGCCGGCGGCATCTCGGCAGCCCGCCTCGACCGTCCGGCACTTTGCCGCATCCCACGCGTTGCATCCGGATCTGCGTGCCGCCACGTGCGAGCGGCACCGAGCCTCAGGACTCAGAGGCACCGCGGTAGGCTGGCTGTCGTGACGTACGGTTGCAGGCCTCAACCACAAGCTGCAATGCTACGGTACCGCATTTTGCAGCGTCTCTCGCATCAATAATACGCAGTAGGTACTGCCGCGCCGCGGGAGAGAGGCTCGACAGTCCCCAGTTCCCAACGGTTCCAGATGTACCTACGTACCTCCAAGCTGGCCGTCGCAGCGGTGGGGTCCAGGCGTCAGGGGTGTGCCAAGGTTGGCGTTCGGCGGGGTGCTCGCGCACGCACTCGCATTTGTTTACCTACGTACCTACAACTTTCTCGCCATTCCATCCCCGCCTGTCGCCTCCCCCCCGCCTCGTCACGCTCCGTCCGCCGCCGCGTCGACTCTGAAATCGCTGCCTTCGACCCTCGCCCGCGCCGTCGCCCGTTTCCGCAGGCCGTCTTCGACCGTGCCGCCGCCGCCGCCGTGCCGTGCCGTCGCTGAGACACCAGCAGGAGCCAGCGGCAGCCACAGACCGCCCTTCCCCGCACCCGGTTGCGGCGCGCCCAGACCGCGTCGAGAGCAGGCGACGCTCCTCGAGCGACCCGAAATCGATCGCCCCCCCCAACGTCTCGCAGAGGTCGACGGCCATGGACATTGACAGCAGCCGCCGCAACAAGTCGCCCCGGCCGCTGTCGGACGCGGAGCGCGCGCGCCTCGAAGAGTTTATCGACTCGATCCACTACTCGGCCAGGTGGGTGCCCGACGAGCCGCCACGCACGACGCAGAAAGAGGAGCGAGCGAGCCGTGACGAGGCCGCCGACGGCTAACAAACGTGCCGCAGGTACTCGGACGAGTCGTACGAATACCGACACGTGCAATTGCCCAAGACGATGCTCAAGTGCATCCCCGCCGAGTACCACGACAAGAGCAAGGGCACGCTGAAGCTGCTCTGGGAGGAGGAGTGGCGGGCAATCGGCATCACGCAGGTACGTCGCGATGCACCACACGGGGCGTCTCGCTTTGATGGGCGGCCACGCTGACACGCGAGCGCGCGCGCAGAGTCTCGGCTGGGAGCATTACGAGGTCCACGAGCCCGAGCCGCACATTCTGCTCTTCAAGTAGGTGAAGCCCTTGCCCCTAGAGAGACGAGGCACGAGCTGACCCGCCCGCCCGCCAGGCGCCCGCTCAACTACCAGCCGCCGCAGTGAGCGCGCCGGACGGCGGCCCGACACGACCTGGAGCGTGTCGGTCCTGTTAACGCTCTTACGAATATCACGGTCTTCGCATGCGATATCTGGGACGGTTTGATAGAACATCAACGCCGCGCGCCGGCCGTCTTGACTCTTGACGCAAAACGGGGGTCTGTGTGTACAAGTACCAACCTGTGAAATTCTCTGACCTTTGCTGCCTCTCGTCTTGGCCCTGCGGCGTGCGTGTGCGTGTGCGTGCTGGTGTGTGTGTGTGTGTGCCTGACGGGATCGCTGTCTGCCGCAGACGGACCGATGCGGTGGCGGGACTTTGTCGGCCTCTCAAGACGGGCGGTGCTGCGCGGTGTCGACGGACGGGACGCGCGAGCGTCTGGCACCCGGCGGCACACGCATTGACACGTCGCCACACCGGCATAGAAGATTGGGGCTATCGGGGTATCCTAGGTAGCGGAATTGAGGAATTTACACTGCAGCGGGCGGACACCGGGTGCCTCTGCCTCTGGTTCTGCCTCTGCCTCACGTGAGGACGACGCATTGTTGGTGGTGCATGGCGATGGTCTCGGCGGGCGGAGCTGGGTCGTGTCCGCATGGCCCACGGTACTTTGTGGTGGCACAACGGCTGCGGCGGGTGGCGTCGAGGATACATTACCATGGCGCCACCATGCCTGAACGGCATTCGAACAGTGCATGAGTCAGGTTTTGCAGCGAGAGGCGGGCGGCGGCGGCGGGCGTCGGTCGCGAGCGCGCCGGAGCGACGAGAGGATCAAGATGGGCTGATGTTGCGCACGACAATAGCACGAGTGTGCTTCGTTCCTGGCAATAGAGGCCTGTCCGGCGAGACCGCCCACTGCGTGCTCTGGCTGCCTTCCGTGACAGCCCCTGCCCGTGGCACTCGACCGATGCAACGCTGGCAGCGCCCCGTGGCCTGTGGCCACCGTTACCTTTCCAGGCGGCGGCCCCGCTCTTCCCGCTCCGCAGCGGTGACTTCCCACCGATGGAACCTAGGTAGAAAGCAAGGGATCAATCCCCTCTAGCGCCCTCTGCCGTCATTGTCCATCACATAAGCGGCAGTTGAGTTGACTTAGGTTGCTTCTTCCCACCGCTCGCCAGGTGGCCTCTTCTCTCTGTGTTTTCTCTCTCTCTCTCTCTCTCTCTCCACGAACCGACTGGGTCGGACTGAACATCATCAATCGACAAGCCGCCACGCTCGAATGCCTGCAGCTCGTGCTGCCGTTACGCCTCGCACGTCGCTACCGCGCGTTCACTCCGCTCTCGCGCTCGGCACGCCCGTAGCGTGACCCGCCCTCCCCCGGCACGGCATCATGAAGTCTGCGAGCAGGCTCTTTTTCCTCTCCATCTTTGCCCTCTGGGCGCCCCCCTCGTCGTGCTCGTCGGAGGAGGAATGCGTGGTGCGTGCCCTCCCCCCCCCCCCCCCTTTCCGGAGCGTGGCGACGCGCGCGCCCGCGCTGACAGACACTCTCAGATCTCGCCCAAGTCCATCGTCGACGACGCCTGCGCGTCGTTTGCGACGCTTGAAAAGCTCAACGGCAACGTCAAGCCGTCGCTCGACACCCTCGTGCGATCGACCGACTTCTTCTCGTACTACCGGCTCAACCTCTTCAACAAGCGCTGCCCGTTTTGGGACGACGAGAATGGCATCTGCGGCAACATCGGGTGCGCCGTCGAGACGCTCGACAACGAGGAGGACATCCCCGAGGTGTGGCGCACCAGCGAGCTGAGCAAGCTCGAGGGCCCGCACGCCAAGCACCCGGGCAAGTCGGCGCAGCGCGAGCACCCCGACCGGCCGCTGCAGGGCGAGCTGGGCGAGGGTGTGGGCGAGAGCTGCGTGGTCGAGTACGACGACGAGTGCGACGAGCGCGACTACTGCGTGCCCGAGGACGAGAGCGCGAGCTCCAAGGGCGACTACGTGAGCCTGCTGCGCAACCCGGAGCGGTTCACGGGCTACAGCGGCGAGGGCGCCAAGCAGGTCTGGGACGCCATCTACCGCGAGAACTGCTTCCAGAAGAGCTCGTTCCCGCACTCGGCCGACCTGGGCGTCTCGGTGTGGCCGCCCGCGGGCCCGGCGGCGCTCGACTTCAAGCACGTCATGGACGCCGCGGGCCGGCACGCGCAGCTCCAGGCGCAGCGGCAGCAGCACCCGCAGGTGCCGGTGCCGTTTGTCGCCAACACGGGCTTCGAGGCCGACGACGAGTGCCTCGAGAAGCGCGTCTTCTACCGCGTCGTGTCGGGCATGCACGCGAGCATCAGCGCGCACCTGTGCTGGGACTTTCTGAACAAGACGACGGGGCAGTGGCAGCCGAACCTGGCGTGCTACGTGAGCCGCTTCGAGGGCCACGCCGACCGCGTCAGCAACCTGTACTTCAACTACGCACTCGTGACGCGGGCCGTCGCGAAGCTGGGCCCGCACCTGCGCGGGTCCGAGTACACGTTCTGCACGGGCGACGCGGCCGAGGACCAGGCGACGCGCGCCAAGGTGCTCGAGGTCGCGCAGCGGGCGGCCAGCGTGCCGCAGATCTTCGACGAGAGCCTCATGTTCGTCAACGGCGAGGGCCCGTCCCTTAAGGAGGACTTCCGCAACCGCTTCCGCAACATCAGCCGGCTCATGGACTGCGTCGGCTGCGACAAGTGCCGCCTCTGGGGCAAGATCCAGACCAACGGCTACGGCACGGCCCTCAAGGTGCTCTTCGAGTTTGACAACGCGCGGGAGCTGCCGGTGCTGAAGCGCACCGAGCTGGTCGCCCTGTTCAACACGTACGCGCGGCTGAGCGAGGCGCTGCGGGTGCTCGGCGAGTTCAGGGACATGAGGGCGAAGCAAAAGGCGGCGGTCGAGGGTAGCGCCGCCGCCGCCGCCGCGTCACCACCTCCTCCAAAGCCGGACCGGGACCCGGCGGAGCAGGCAAAGACAAAGACCAAGGCGAAGACGAAGACGACGGAGCCGACGGGGCGGCCGGACGGGTACGAAGAGGACGAGGCGGTGCGCGAGTTTGTCGCCCTGCGGCTGCGGGGGCCCAAGAGCGACTCGCTGTACCACCGCTTCAGCTTCGAGCTGGAGCGATTCCGCGCGGCCGTCAAGATTGTGGTCAGCGGGTGGCTGCGGGCGCCAAAGACATTGTAAGTCTCTTCGGGCTGACCTCCGTACGCAGATTGCTGACTGCCCACAGCTGGAACATCATCACGTCGGAGACGGTGCGTCTGTATCAATTCTGGGTGGGCCTGCCGGTGAACCCGCGACAGTGGAAGGTTACGCTTCCCGACATAAACCGGAATGAGCTGTAGTTGCATGCATGTCGCAGGCGTTGGCGTATGCTTTTAAATGCTGTGTGTACATTAGACATTCAATTTGGAGCGATGTGGTGGCCGCGGGCAGGGCGCTCGACACCCCACGACAAGACACGCTCCGGTCATCATGTGAGAGGGTGGACGCTACGGAGCAAAAATGAGAGACTCGGTCTGACATTGTGACCGCAAAAATCAGACGGCGAATCCCCAAAAAATATGAGACTTGTAGAGAGTCGACCGTCGCCGAGCTCCTCAAAAATATGACACCTGAGGGATTCGAACCCTCGCCTATTACTAGACCGCGAATAGGTGCGTCGGACAAGCGTCCGTCGCAAAGCCTGAACACGGCGCCTTAGACCACTCGGCCAAAGTGCCTATTGACTGATTGTTGAAGGAGGGTGGCTTATTGTGGGCTATGTAGGGTTTGCACGTGGCCGGGCGGCGATGGCTTGCCCAGGCCGGGACGATTGGTCGACGGCGGGCCGCGGGGCCTCGGTGCGGGGCGTCCGGGCCGGGCGGGCTGCGGAGGGCTACCCTGGACGCGACGTCGTCGAGTCAAATGTCGCTGCCGTGGTGCCGCTGAGGGGTTGTGCAAGTCAATGAGCAAATTGGTTGAGGGGTGCACTTCGTGGCAGGCGACGGGAGGTGCAATTGGCGGCGTTGCAGTGCGGAGATCGAATGCGCTGGCAGCGGGGGCCGAGGCACAGCTTACACGCACGTCCTCACTTATACCCGGCCTCTGCAAGGCTACGTGACCAAGGACGAGACGGCACTCTACATGCAACCACCAACCACTCACTCACGTCACACCCAAACTCAACCACAGCAGCAACATGTCGCAGCCGCAGACGCAGACGCGCCCCTCGCGCAGCCTCGCCGGCAAGGTGGCCATCGTGACGGGCGCGGGGACGGCGGGCGAGGGCATCGGCAACGGGCGGGCGATTGCGATCCTGCTGGCCGAGGACGGGGCGTCGGTGGTGTGTGTCGACCGCGACGCGGCGCTGGCGGCGCGCACGGCGGAGATGATCGGCGACGAGGGCCGGGGGCGGGCGCTGGCGGTGGCGGGCGACGTGACGCGCGAGGCCGACTGCGCGGCGGCGGTGGAGGCGGCGGTGCGCGCGTACGGGCGCGTCGACATCCTCGTCAACAACGTGGGCGTGCTGGGCCCGCGCGGGACGGCGACGGAGACGGACCCGGCGGCGTGGGCGCGCGGGCTCGAGGTCAACGTGACGAGCATGGCGCTCATGGCCAAGCACGCGATCCCGGCGATGCTGCGCAACGGCGGCGGCGAGGACGGGGACGACGCGGACGACGAGGGACGGGGGCAGGGAGAAGGACAGGGTCACGCACAGAGACGGCCGCCGCCGCCGCCGTCGGAGCCGCGGGGCAGCATCGTCAACGTCGGGTCCGTGGCCGGGCTGCGCGGCGGCACGCCGAGCCTGCTGTACCCGACGAGCAAGGGCGCCGTGGTCAACATGACGCGGGCCATGGCGGCGCACCACGGGCCGCAGGGCGTGCGCGTCAACTGCGTGTGCCCGGGGATGCTGTACACGCCCATGATGCACAGCCCCGACGCCGGGGCCGGGCCGTCCATGTCGGAGGCGACGCGCGAGGCCCGCCGCCACCGCAGCCTGCTGGGCACCGAGGGCAACGCCTGGGACGCGGCGGCGGCGGTGCGCTTCCTGGCCGGGGGCGAGGCGCGCTGGATCACGGGGACGGTGCTGACGGTGGACGCGGGCGCGACGTGCTCGACGGCCATCACGATGGAGTGAGGGATGGGGTTGGGGGGAGGGCATGTGGTGAGGGAGGGGGGCTGGGCCGGGCTGGGGCCATGAAGCGAGGGCCACGGGCTAGCGGTATGAAGTGAGTGCCGTGAATCGAGGGCACGGAGCGTGTGCTGTAAAAATCTAGGGTTACGGGGTGAGAGCAAGGAGCGAGTGCCCGAACCAAGGGCAACAAGTGAGTGCCGTGATCGGGCGTCACGGGCCGAGGGCTGAGGCATTTCCCCATTAGGCAGTTTGTACAGTTTCGCGGCGGGCGCCCTGCTGGGCAGACTCGCCCGACGACGCACCGCGGGCATGCCCGTGACGGCCACTCGCTGCGGCCCGGGGGCGCGGCTCTCTGGGCATCCCGGACGGCCAGTCGTCCTCTTGTAAATATGACCAACAGTCGACTGCCTGCGCCGTGTCAAACGTGTCGTCCGTCACGCACCTCGGGCAAGGCATCGCGATTGCACTCAGGTAATGCATTTGGTGCGACAGCCCTGGGCCACCGAGTGGTGGGCGTCGCAGTGGCAGCCCCGCTATTCCAAGCCCTTGGAGCCCTGAGTGTCTGGAGTCATCCGCCAGCGCTGCGCTGCCTCATCATCGACACGCTCGATCCGCCCGGCGACCCGTCACGGTTGGCAGCAAGCGGGAAAGCAGGACAAACACGTCAGGTAAGCCTTTGTCACGGCATTCGTTCTGATACTCGCCGTGGTTGCCTGGCGCGCGCTCACCGGCACATAAGACCGAGTGCGCAGCGCCCTGGACTCGCCCATCGTCAGTCACGCCCAGCCGACCTGTTGCCGCGGCCATCGCCTTGGACACTGCATCTTCTCACTCGCCGTCACATCACTCGCCGCCAGACCACACGCCGCCACACCCAAGCCATGTCGGGCCTCGCCGCAGCACCAAAGCATGGGTCGTCGGCCTTTATCGTCAAGGGTGACAAGATCCTCGTCGGAGAGCGCATGGGCAGCCACGGTGCAGGTAAGGCCTTCGAGACGCGAATCCCCCAGCTCTGGCGACTGACACTCGCCCCCTCCCCCCCCAGGCACCTGGCAGCTTCCTGGCGGGCACTGCGAGCCCGGCGAGGGCTTCTTCCAGTGCGCGGCGCGCGAGGTCAAGGAGGAGACGGACCTCGACGTCGCGGGCGTGCGGCTGCTGGCCAACACGTACGACGCCTTCCCGCAAAACGACAAGCACTACGTGACGTGGTTCGTGCTCGTCGAGCTGCACGACGAGCGGGCCGAGCCCAAGGCCATGGAGCCCGACAAGTGCGCCTCGTGGCACTGGATGTCCGTCGCCGACCTGCGCAAGCGCAACATGTTCCTGCCCCTCGCCAACCTCTTCCGCGTCAAGAAGACGTGGGACGCCGTGCTCGCCGGCTCCGCGCCCCTCGTCCGCCTGCCCGCCGCCGCCGGTGCCGCCGCCCGCGACGTGCTCGTGCGCTGGGACGCCGCGCCGGGGCCTGCCGTGCGCGCCGACGCCGCCCACGGGACCGTCACCATCGGCCGCGGCCGCGACCTCGCCATCGTCGACCAGAGCCCGGGCAACGCCCACTGCAAGCTCGAGATTGTCGTCGACGGGCCCGACCGCCAGCACGTGTTTCCGCTCGGCAACGACGTCGTGGCGCTGGGCGCGGGGGGGACGGGCAAGACGGAGTCGGTGATTAAGGCGTAGACTCAGTAGAGACCATGCAGCAGGCAAGTGTGTGGTCATGGGCAAAGACAGAGAGTGGTCCGTTGGTACTGTACGAAGTACTCCGTAGGGCCTGAAATGCATGTACGTAGCAAATATCGCTGTAGGCGAACCGCTGCCGCCCCACTCCACTGCCGTCCGTCCGTCTCCAAGTCTCACCTACCGCAAGCCACGCCTCCTGTCCCGCCATGACGACGCAACACCAAGCTCCGCCCACCAACGCGTTGCATCCCGTCCGCGCCGGCTGCTCGCCCAGCATGTCGCCATGCCCCTCTCGGAGCCTCGCCGCCCGCGCCTCCTCCCGCAGAACCGCAAGCTGCGCCACCTAAACGGCCTCTCGCTGCGCAACCTCTCCTTTGCGCCGCCTGCCCGCCGCGCCGCCGACGACGACGCCGCCGCCGTTGACCACTCCCGCCGCCTCGAGGTCCTGCGCGAGGCCGGCCAGCTGCACCCGTCGCGGTCTTCCGAGAGCCTGCGCGCCGACGCCTCTGCGGCCTCCGCCGTCTCCGCCAGCCCCCGCGCCGACAAGCGCCGTCCCAATGCCCGCCCGCGCCGGACCAGCCTGAGCCTCGCCCACGCGACCCCGGCGTCGCGCCAGCGGAAGCTCGAGGAGCTGGTCGAGAGCTCCGTCGGCGATGCCTTTTTCTCCCTGCACGCGGCGGGCGACGTGGAGCCCGTCTACGTGAGCGAGGTGCGCGAGCGGTCTGCGGTGAGTGCGCGCCCAAAGTTCACATTGCGTGTGTTCTGTCGTGCGGGACGGCTGACGGCTGACGGCGCGGCAGAACTTCAACTTTCGCTTCTTTGACCTCGCCGACGACGCGGCCTCCAGGGCGTGCATCCTGACCATCCGCGTCTGGTCGCGGCGCGCCGGCCAGCCGTGGGCGCTGCTGCTCGAGGAGATTGTCGACCTGCGGCGGCTCAACTTCATCGGCACGCTCGCGGACCGCCGGTTCCCGCCCAACGCGCTCATCTTCCACCTCGAGGACGGCGTCTACTCGCTCGACTTCCCCACGCGCGCCGCCGAGCCGCGCCAGGCGCCGCCGCCCGCGGCCACGTCGTCGTACAACGCGCTCATGAAGCTCGCCAACCTCGAGAGCTCGATCCAGGACGCCATCGACACGCGGCGCCGCATCATGGACCAAATCAACGGCATCCTCGCGAGCCGGCCGCCGCCCGACGCGTGCGACGCCGCCGCGGCCGACGAGGAGGCGACGCTGGCGGAGCGCTACGTGGCGGCGCAGCGGCGCGCCAACCGCCAGGCCCAGAAGCGGCGCGACGAGCTGCGGGCGTCGCTGGCCAGCCGGCGCGCGGCCATGGCGCGGGGCCGCGAGGCGCAGGCGCGCGCCGAGCAGGACGTGGCGCACAACCGCGAGCAGCTCGAGGCGTCGCGGCGGCTCGTGGCCGCGACGGAGCTGCAGATCCGCGGCCAGCGCCGCCGCATCTGCTCCGAGCTGGCGGCCATGCTGCCCATCGCGCCCGTGCCCGACGCGCCGCCGCTGTCGTTTCAGATCTGCGGGCTGCCGCTGCCCAACTCGACGTACGACGCGGCGACGGCGCGCGCCGTCAACGAGGACGCGCTGTCGGCGGCGCTGGGGCTCGCGGCCCTCGTCGCGCGCAACCTGCAGTTCTACCTGTCGCTGCCGCTGCCGTACCCGCTCTTCCCCTACGGCTCGCGCTCCGTCGCCCGCGACGACATCTCCCTGCTGCCCGACCAGCCCGCGCCGCCGCCCTCGTCGCGCCGCGAGTTCCCGCTGCACCTGCCGCGCGGCGGCTCCACGCTCGGCCACTGGCGCTTCGAGTACGCCTGGTTCCTCCTCAACAAGGACGTCGAGGCCCTGTGCGCCTCACAGGGCCTGCGCGTCGTCGACATCCGCCACTCCCTCCCCAACCTCAAGTACCTGCTTTACGTCTGCA